GCTCTTGGGGAGAGCCAGCACTGTAGGGGGGGCCTGATAATCATTCCTATCCCCACACTTTCCACAGGATGTGATAATTATGGAAGATATCTCACTGCTGAGGTTCAGCAGGGAATCAAGGGAGGGTCTTCTCCAAGACTGTGGCTTCCGCCTTGGCCCCTGTGCAGCTTGCCTGTGTGCAGCAATGATCCTTTCCCTCCCCCCCACCCCCCGCCCGTGACGGCACAGTGGTGCGGGAAAGTTACCGTTAATGGGGCAAGAAACAAAGCAGCTCTGCCGAAGAACCTGTGGCAGTGGATTGCTCAGTATCTCTATGAGAGTTTCCTGGGCAATCCTCTGAGGGAGATTCCCGTGAAGTGAGGGAGTCAATCAACAGCCTGTTCCGCTGCTCAGACGAGGCATGCGGTGGGAGACAAGCCTGGTTTCTGCAACCCTCCTTCCCCCAACAACTCGCTTCAGCGATTCCCAAAATCAAATCCACTTACCGGGGCCTCCTCTCCTGTTTGCGCTTCGCCAAGATCCGACAGCTGTGACTGGCTAGCCTCTTCCGGGGTAGAAAAGAGCTCCTGGCTGCATGCCTCTCTGACCTCCAAGTCATCCTCTGCCTCTGAGTTCGCCTCCCTGTCCACATCCTCATCCAAGATTTCTTCCTCCTGGCTCAGTCCACTCTCAACTGACACACGAGCCACCGAAGTATCCACAGTGCTCTTCGCAGTGGATGTGGGGTGGCCTCCGAGTATCGCATCCAGCTCTTCGTAGAACCGGCAGCTCGTGGGCGCAGCACTGGAGCAGCGGTATGCCTCCCACACCTTGTGGTAGGCGTTCCGCAGCTCCTTCACTTTGACCCTGCGCTGCAATGTGTCCCGGTCATGGCCCCTTTCTGTGATGCATCGTGAAATCTGTCCGTAGGTATCATAATTCCTACAGCTGGAGCGCAGCTGTGACAGCACTGCCTCCTCTCCCCAAATGCTGATGAGGTCCAGCAGCTCGGTATTGCTCCAAGCAGGGGATCGCCCGGTGCGTGGAGCAGGCATGGCCACCTGGAAAGATGTGCTGACACCACTGCACGCATCACCGAGCAAACAAGAAGGGGACTTTCAAAATTCCAAAGGAATTTACGGAGTGGGGATGATGGTTGGTCACCTGAGGGCAGGGCAGTAGAGTTCAAACTGATGGCCAGAGAGGTGAGAACGGGCATTGTGAAACACCTCCCGGAGGCTAATCGTAGCACTGTAATTGACCACGGTGTCTACACTGGCACCGCGGTGCTGTAGCCCCGGCGCAGAAAGCTCTACGCCTCTCATTGGGGTGTTTTTTTTTAAAGTACTACAACTGTGCAGTTTCTGTGCACTAAGTGGCTTGGCAGTGTGTACACCTCGGGAGTTACAGCGCAGAAAGCTGCTTTACTGCACAGAAACATGCCAGTGTAAACAGGGCATTAGATTGTAAGCGTCTAGGGGCAGGACTTGAGGTCTTTAAACCACGATTTGAGGACTTCAATAACTCAGGCATAGGTTAGGGGTTTGTTACAGGAATGGGTGGGTGAGATTCTGTGGACTGCGTTGTGCAGGAGGTCAAACTAGATGATCATAATGGTCCCTTCTGACCTTAAAGTCTATGAGTCTATGAGGACTGTCTCTTTGTTGTACATCTAGCACAATGGGGCCCTGACCTCTAGGTGCTTCTTTAATGCAAATAATCAGTGATAATACAACTGGTGTTAATTGGCTGTCTTGTTGGCAGTAAGCTCATTTGGAACAACTCCTTTCACGCCTAGCTTGGTGTGGTCTCTCCAGTTTGGAACCGGGGCACAGTGTTGGGAGTTGGTCTGAGGAAAGCTTGCACCGCAAAGGATCACTCCTGTTTCCACTGGTGTCAAACCAGCACACTTATGGTATGTCTACACTGCCCACGTTACAGCACGGCCGTGACATGGACAGTGTAGTCACACTTTATCGCTGGGGAAGTGCTCTCCCAGCGTTTAAAAAACCCCACCCTGAACGAGCAATGGGAGCCCAGCTCCCGGCGATAAAGCGCTGTCTATACCGGCGCTTTTCAGTGCTAAAACTTTTGTCACTCGGGGGGTATTTTTTCACACCCCTAAACGACTAAAGTTTTAGTGCTGAAAGTGGCAGTGTAGACACAGCCTTAGGAGCTGTTTGGCTGCTAGAAGTACTGGGTAGAGTGGGTGCTGGTATTATACAGGGCTTTGGGATAGTGGCACAGGGAGCTGTGTGAGCAGATGGTGGGTACATGACAGCATAGGCATCGACTCCGTGGGTGCTCTGGGGCTGGAGCACCCACAGGGAAAAATTAGTGGGTGCTCTGCACCCACCGGCAGCCAAGCTCCCCCCGCCCCCTCCTCCCCCTCCCGAGCGTGCTGCGTCCCCGCTCCTCCGCCTACCTCCCAGCGCTTCCCGCCACCAAACAGCTGTTTGATGGCACTTAGGACTTTCCAGGAGGAAGGGAGGGGGAAAGAGCGGGGACGCGGCACGCTCAGGGGAGGAGGTGGAGAAGAGGCGGGGCAGGACTTGGGGGAAGGGGTGGAATGGGGCAGGGCGAGGGTAGTGCAGGGGTGGGGGTGGGGTCAAGCACCCACCGGGAACAGTGGAAGTGGGCGCCTATGTATGGCAGGTGGATCTAGGTGCTGCAGGGTGTTGGATGCGTTGGCTGGAGCCTTGGGAGGAGGGAGCCAGTGCTGGTTGGGCTTGGTTGGTAGGTAGTGGGTCAGCAGCACATAGGATTGAGCGTTGGACAACTCCTGTCTGCATTTGATGCTGGGTAGTATGAGAAGCCCATTGGTAAATATGGCTGGTGCTGGGGGTGTGCACAATGGTGGAACGTGTGGCTGGCACTGATGTGTGGGTCGAGTGGTACCAGGGCCTGCTGGTAGCAGGAGGCTGGTGATGTGTGCGTACCGGGTGCTGGGCGACAGGTGGGAAGTGGCACACAGTGGCTGGTGACTGGCAGTGGGTGAGGACACGAGGTGAATTGTGGGTGCCTGGCACAGCAGGTGGTAAGAGGCCCTGGCTGCAGGGAGGTAGGGCAGGTGGCACTGCATGACATGGTAATTGGCTGGGGGTGCAGTAGGCAGGGCCGGCTTTAGGAACTGCGGGGCCCGATTCGAATACCTGGCGGCAGTCTGGGTCTTCGGCGGCACTTCGGCGGCGGGGGGTCCTTCACTCGCTCCGGGTCTTCCGTGGCACCGGACCCCCTGCCGCCGAAGTGCCGCCGAAGACCTGGACCGCCGCCAGGTGAGTAAAAAAAATTAAAAAGGTGGCTAAGGCGCGGGGCCCGATTCCGGGGAATCGGCCTAAAGCCGGCCCTGGCAGTAGGGTCACTGTTTGCTAGGGTTACCATTCGTCCGGATTTACCCGGACATGTCCTCCTTTTTGTGTTTAAAAATAGCGTCCGGGGGGGAATTTGCAAATCACTACAAATGTCCGGGATTCCCCCCCAGGCAGAGCGAGGCGCGGCTGGGAGGGCTGCAGGAAAGTCAGCCGCTCGCATGGGGCTCTGGCAGCCAGAGCCCTTCCCCCGCAGCTTGCCGGGCTGGACTCCGGAGCAGCTGTAGAGCTCCTCCTCCCTGCATTCTGAGCCGGCTGGGCCGTTTGCATCGTGCCTTGGCAGCTCCTCCTCCCCAGCGCCCCGCTCCGGCAGCACTGTGCGGGGGCAGGGACCGGGTTGTGTGTTGCGCTGGGGAGCGCAGCCACGTGTCCGGCTCCGCACAGAGCCCAACAGGGTAAGGGGG